ACTCGAAATGGAAGTAAGCTCAACAATTAAATTTCATTTGCAGCTTGGGATGATTGTGCTTGCTCAACTGTCCATAATAAGATGCCCGGTTTCAATCTAACCCATTCGCATGCAATGTTGCATTCTCCCAGCAAAGAATGCGATATGGAAAAATGCCCGGCCTTCCTTGAAATACACCTTTCATCTGTGACTCAAGGGGACTCGTGGCATTGTGGCGTAGTGGTTAACGTGGTTAACGTGGTTCGAGTCCCACTGGAGATGTTCGATAAGACCTGGGCTTGGTCAAACCTGCAGTCCATCCTGGAGGATAACATCTTTTGTGAAAGCAAAGCAATGCTGTATTCAATGGAAGTTTCAGCTCTACTGATAGGATTGTGAAAAAAATTCAACTACTAGAAATAGGTTGAATGAATCGCATATTAATTAGCTACAACTGGTAGTCTCGAAAACCCACTTATAAACGAAACATAAAAACAAACTATCTTGTGTCATGAGCTTTGTTTACTTGCCACTCCAGTCTCTTCACCATGCCTAATTCTGAGTTGAGTAGACTCTATTCAGGAATCGATTATTCGGTCGGGATGGCTAATTCATTTGCTGTTCGAAGGGAGAAATGACGGGGATTCGTGGTTGGGCAATGCCAGCACCAAGAACTGTAGAGAAAGCATTGAAGCATAGGCAACTCTGCGCTTGTGAAAGGCCTGAACGAGTGAGATGCAGGCTTCGAAGCTGCAGGCCGGACGAAGCGCAATACGAAGAGCCATTATTACGAATGGAGCAGACAGGAGGAAGGTGGAGAGGTGCTAAAATGAGGGGGAATATTTTGTTAAAATATGGTATGTGTTAAGGGGAAAAGCGAGTGGCCATTAAAAGACTGGACGTGCTCCCAAAACCAGACGTACTCGGACGAATACGTAAACCAAACGAAGCTGACTAGCCGGTTTGCAACCCTTTTTACACTGGCCCCTCAAGCTGTCCTGGTCACGTGCATATACAAGCCAAATGTGTTATTTCTCTGACCAGCGCAACCACAAACTCGCTACCGAAAGACAGCCGAAACCTCACCCCCCGCATATCTATCGCTCAAACCGTCCGTCTCAATGTCTATTTACATGCCTAAGTACATTATTTCCAGCTTAACTACAAACGTGTTTAACAATGTTTGTCATGCCAGAAAATGCATCCACCCTTAAAAAGGTTTCTAACCTCGCCTACCTCCTACACGAGCATGGCTTTTCCCAAGATCCCTTCCACCAGCCTGTTTAACGTCGCGCTTTAGAGACAAACGAATCCGTGCAATTTCACTAAGTTCCCCAACCCCGTTGCCCTCATCTGGACGATACTGCACTCGTGTCAATGCGCCTAGTGATGACGGCCACTCCAGCACGAATAGATCATGTGCTTCGGATGTCTATCAGACGTTGGAAAAACACGCATGGATCCTTCCAAGCCTGTGCGTATACGATTGTACATCTACCTTTGGCCCGGCGAAAGCTCACCCAAATACATTCCACATCTCGCTTTTAGCCGACAACCCCTCCGGCCTCGTTGACAAACTGTATCCTTTTGCCGTTTTTTATGCAAGCTCAGCTAATCAAGCAAATGCTCACGCATAAACACATCCAATTGCCAGGACGCATGTAAACACACACGATCGCTCAGACGCATGTGCGCAAACACAAACAACCGCACGCACGTAAATACACGCAATAGA